TTCAACTGCCTCCCAGCACACATAAGGGGGATTACCAACAGACCCCTGGCAGTCTTCAAGCTGGCGCTGGACAAGCACCTAAAGTCAGTTCCGGATCAGCCGGGCTGTGGCTCGTACGTTGGTTTGCGTGCAGCCAGCAGCAACAGCCTGGTTGATCAGGCTCTGATCCACCAGGAGGCCTGGTCACAGACCGGGCCGCGGGGGCGTTGACCCCGGAACTCTCTCCAGGTAAACTCCAAATACATAATGAGAATTTTCAAAACTTGAGTTGCCAATCCCATGATGAATCTGTTCAAATTGCTTGTTCTCTCTTGGGTGGAATATTGCTGTACACTAAGAACTCCTTTCAAGGCAGGTGAAATTGCAGACCAACATTATACGTTGAACTTTCATGGCATGTATAAGTACAATAAAGCACCTAAATTATTGGGAACAGTTGACATCCCTTGATTTGTACTCCCTGGAGTGCAGGCAAAAAGGATATATGATAATATACAGTGGAACCTCTACTTACAAGTGCATCCACATGCGAGTTTTTCCAGATACAAGCAGTCACTCATTCAATTTTTTTGCATCCAGAAGTGAGTGAAATTTCCAGATGCGAGCGGGCCTCAAGGGAGGTTCCTTGACGCTGGTGAGGGACTCTTGCTCTTGATCTAATGAATTTGATCTCAGTTGTTTGTTGGGCTATCTTATTGAAACTTGGGCAATGTATGATGGGAAGCTGCTTCTTAACGTACACCAAAAGTGAAAGAAATTGAACGATAAATAACGGAGTTCACTTCTCAGTCACTAGCCTACCCTTAGCGGTATATTTTCGTATGGTTTTTATGGTTGTAGTCTCGTTTTTATGGTTTCCTTTGATAGAATGGAAGATATACTATAGAAATAGATATGAATTTGATTGGTTTCACGACGAAAAGTACCTCGAAATTGAGCTGAAAGTAGTATAAATGTTCGATTCTTTGGTGATGTTCAAGAGTAAACAAATAATGGCACTGTCCAATACCTGTCTGAGTGGCATTGCCCCCTCAACCTTCACATAATGGAAAGCTCTTCAACACACTAGCAAAAGTGGGAGCATACATCATGAGGTAGCAGTGGCAGACAACTTGAAGCAGCAGTGGCACACAACTTGAAACAGCAGTGGCAGACAACATGAAGCAACAGTGGGAGACAGCATGAAGCAGCAGTGGCAGACATCATGAAGCAGCAGTGGCAGACAACATGAAGCAGCAGTGGCAGACAACATGAAGCAGCAGTGGCAGACATGAAGCACATTTGTAACATTTGATTATCTTTATTGTAGACGTTTTGCCATCCAGTGGCTTTATCAATACAGATTCTAGGACATAATTAGAAGCCAGTAGGACTATATACAGTTCTAATTATGTCCTTGAATCTGTATTGATAAAGCCACTGGATGGTGAAACATCTACAATAAAGATAACCAGATGTTGCACATGTGTCTTAACTTTCATCTTGTCGGTATTGTATAAATTTGCTGCACAGACATGAAGCAGCAGTGGCAGGCAACATGAAGCAGCAGTGGGAGACAACATGAAGCAGCAGTGGCAGACAACATAAAGCAGCAGTGGTAGACAACATGAAGCAGTAGTGTCAGACCTTGTTATCTTGAAAACAACCTTGTTGTACCCTGGTAACAACAACAATGGCTGCTGTCACCACCACTAGCCACATACGTAATGTCATGTATTTTATTCATTCTAGTGTATATATTATGTTTCTATGTTATTAATATTGTTGATTATGTCATATTAGATGAATTCTGATAGATAAATAAGCCATAGAGTTGATATTAGGGAAATTATTGAAGTATTTTGTCGTGCCTGAAATTCCACTGGAACGGATAAATTCCATTTCAGTTAATTTAAATGAGGAAAATTGACTCTGCAAATGAGCAAATCCAGATGCGAGCAAGGTCCTGGAACAGATTAAACTCATAAGTAGAGGTTCCACTGTACACTTGGAAAATCCTAGAGGGATTAGTCTCGAATCTGCACATGAAAATCATTCTCTGTGGAAGCAAAAGACTCAGCAGGAGATGCAACATCTCCCCAATGAAAAGTAGGGATGCCATGAATATGCTAGGAAACAACACAATAAGTGTCAAGGGCCCAAGACTGTTCAACTACTTCCCAGCATACAGAAGTGGATTACAAATAGACCCATGATTGTCTTCAAGATGGTGCTGGACAGGCACCTAAAGTCCGAACCTAACCTGCTGGGCTGTGGGTCGTATGTCAGTTTACGTGCAACCAGCAGTAATAGCCTGGTTGATCAGGCTCTGTTCTACTGCGAGGCCTGGTCACAGACCAGGTGTTGACCCCCGAAACCTTCTCCGGGTATACTCCAAGTAACTGAAAGTCCTAGAAAATCACCATATCAGCAGAAAACTAAAAGAACCAAAGAGTGGCCTAATATGAAGTGATAGATTACCCACTTCCCCTCATCTCATTGTAGTCTCAGGACACAAGTTTCAGCTCCTGGGACTCACCTTCCCCTCAACTCAGTGTACTCAGCTCCTGGGACCCTCCTAACTCTCAACCTACTGGTTGATGATCTCCATAAGTGGATAAATACAGTGGACCCTCGGTTAATGTAATTAATCCATTCCATAGAGTGTGTTTTATACCGAATTTGAATTAATCCGAATTAATTTTCCCCATAAGAAATAATGGAAATCAAATTAATCTGTTCCAGACATCCCAGAAAATTAAACAAAATAATTTTTTTACATGAAATATACATATCCCTACATAGAAAACAATGAGACATGCAGAATAAACAATATTAAAATGACACCTTTATTGAAGACTTATTGATGAGTGATGAGACGGGAGGAGGGGAGAGGATGGAGGTGCACCAATGTTTGGAAAGGGAATCCCCTTCCATAACGACTTCAGGTACCAAGTTCTTTTTTGGGGTTGCTTCCCTTCTTTGTTTTTTAATGCCACTAGAACCAGCTTGAGAGTCACTGGACCCCTGTTGCCCCAAAAATCTGTCCAGAGAGCTCTGTTTCTGGCGTCTCTTTAAGATTTCCCTAAAAAGGGACACAACATTGTCATTGTAGATGTTGCCAGCACAGCCTGAAACAGCTGTGTCAGGGTGATGTTCATCCATAAATGTTTGCACTTAGTACACTTTGCACAAATGTTCTTAATCTTTGAAGAAGGCACCTTCCTCCTTTTCTGTTCCTCATCCTCAGGAGGAAATTCCTGAGCTGTGGTCTGTTGGTGTTACACCTCAAGCTCTTGCAGCTCTGTAGTGGTTAGCTCTTCATCGTAGTCCTCCACCAACTCTTCCACATCCTCCAAACTCACATCCAACCCCATGGAATTCCCCAATGCCACAATAATACTTTCCACAGCTGGCATAGGCACCTCAGGGTCAGCCTCAAACCCTTTAAAATCCCTCTCTTGTACACATTCTGGCCACAACTTTCTCCAAGCAGAGTTCAAAGTCCTGTAAGTCACTCCCTCCCATGCCTTACTTATAAGGTTCATGCAAGTGAGGATACTGAAGTGATCTTTCTAGAACTCTCTTAGGGGTCAATTCAGTGTGTTAGGTCACTTCAAAGCACTTTTGAAACTGCTTTGGTGCAGTTTTTTGAAATTTGAAATGACCTGCTGGTCCATGGGCTGGAGTAAAGGAGTGGTATTAAGGGGGAAGAACTTGGATAAAAAGAAACTTCTGAACCATTCGCTCTTCCGAGTCTGGAGGATGAGGAGGAGCATTGTCCATTACCAGGAGGCACTTGAATTCCAATTTATTTTCCAGGAGGTATTTTTTCACACTGGGGCCAAACATGTCATGGAACCAATTTAGGAAAAATGTCCCCCATGACCCATGCCTTACTGTTTGCTCTCCACATCACACACAGTTTAGTCTTGGCAACACTGTTTTTCTTGAACACTCTGGGATTTTCAGAGTGATACATGAGTAAAGGCTTCACTTTGCATTCCCCACTAGCATTACTAAAAAACACGAGAGTTAGCCTGTCTTTCATAGGCTTGTGTCCTGGGAGTGCCTTTTCCTCCTGAGTAATGTAGGTCCTGTTTGGCATTTTCTTCCAAAACAGGCCTGTTTCATCACAATTGAACACTTGGTGGGGTTTTAATTTTTAAGCCTCTATGTACCCCTTGAAGTCCTGAACATATTTTTCAGCTGCTTTTTTTGTCAGAACTGGGAGCCTGACCATGCCTTATCACACTGTGTATGCCACTAGGGTTCTTAAATCTCTCATACCAACCTATGCTGACCTTAATTTCACCAATATGAGCACTAGTTTCAAGCATTTTCTTAATCAGATCATCATGCATCTGCCTTGCCTTTTCACATATAATTGACTGTGAAACACTATCTCCTGATAATTGTTTCTCGTTGATCCACACCAACAACAGTCTCTCCACATCTTCAAGTATTTGCAATCTCTCTTTTGTAAGCATATTTGCACCTTCTGCAACAACAGCTTCTTTGATTGTCTTTTTCATGGCTAAAATAGTAGCGATGGTTGTATGGGGTTTGTTATACAATCTGACCAGCTCAGAGACATGCACTCCACTTTCGTATTTCGTGTTGATCTCTTTCTTGAATTCTATAGTGTTTCTCACCCTCTTTTCCAAAGGGCTGGCACTAGAAACTTTCTTTGGTCATATGGTGGCTTATTTAGCAGTTAAAAGCACTAAAAACAATGGAATAATACAAAATGTATCATCTGTATGCGTGGAATCGTCCTCACTGGCTTGTAAGCAATGGCACACTGGCTGGGACTGGAGTGTCCGGACCACTCACACCACACGGACACGTTCGGGACGAATGACTTGAACCGAATTTACTGTCATTAACCGAGCCAAAATTTTGATGCTAAAACGTTACTTAATCCATTTATTACTTAATCCGATGACGTCTTAATCCGGGGATCCACTGTATTATACAATATAAAGTTTTAATAATTTCCATTTTTTCTCGTTTTTCAGTTTGGAATTTCACGATTAATTAGTTACTTTCGAGGGAAAACAGTGGCTGTCACAGATGAGAGAATTTCTATGGTGAGTGAACTGCTGAACTGCATCAAGCTTATCAAGATGTATGCTTGGGAGAAGAGCTTTGCTGCTAAGATTACAAGTAAGTAGTGAAGGTAGTGTTGACACTGTAGTGGTGACACTGTAGTGTTGACACTGTAGTGGTGACACTGTAGTGGTGCTGCAGTAGTGTTGACACTGTAGTGTTGACACTGTAGTGTTGACACTGTAGTGTTGACACTGTAGTGGTGACACTGTAGTGGTGACACTGTAGTGGTGACACTGTAGTGAAGATAATGTTGACACTGTAATGAAGGTAGTATTTACACTAGTGTTGACACTGTAGTGGTGACACTGTAGTGTTGTCTCTGTAGTGGTGACACTGTAGTGAAGATAATGTTGACACTGTAATGAAGGTAGTGTTTACACTAGTGTTGACACTGTAGTATTGACACTGTAATGGTGACACTGTAGTAGTGACACTGTAGTGAAGATAGTGTTGACACTAATTTTGACATTGTAGTGAAGGTAGTGCTGACAATGTTGTGAAGGTAGTGGTGACAGTGTAGTGGTGACACTGTAGTGTTGACACTGTAGTGGTGACACTGTAGTGAAGGTAGTGTTGACACTGTAGTGGTGACACTGTAGAGAAGGTAGTGTTGACACTAGTGAAGATAATGTTGACACTAGTGTTGACACTGTAGTGAAGGTAGTGGTATCACTGTAGTGAAACCATACCCCCGGCCGGGATTGAACCCGCGGTCATAGAGTCTCAAAACTCCAGCCCGTCGCGTTAGCCACTAGACCAGCTAGCCACAATAAGATTCACCCAACTAGGTATATTTCTGTAGTGAAAGTAATGGTGACACTGTACTGAAGGTACTGTTGACACTAGTTATGACACTGTAGTGAAGGTAGTGGTAACACTGTAGTGAAGGTAATGGTGACAATGTAGTAAAGGTAGTGTTGACACTGTAGTGAAGGTAATGTTGACACTGAGCAAGCATTATGACAACCTCACTGCATTACTCAATTCCCTTCATTCGAATATATCAATCATCACACTCACAGAAACCTGGCTTAAGCCTGATATTACAGATGTCTATACCATTCCTGGCTACATGGCCATACACAACTGTAGAACAGACCAGCAAGGGGGAGGAACAGCTATATACTACTCAAATTAACTCGAATGTATCAATAAATCTTGCACAAGGGATGAACATGGAGAATACATACATCATAGCCAAATTTAAATCAAAAGACCTGCAAAAAACCCCTCACAATTATAAACATCTACAGAGTACGACAGTCATACATTTACCACTTTATTGAAAAACTAGGAAACATGATTACTGATGCACACATGAGTAAAGACCACCTGCTACTAACAGGTGATTTCAACATAAACATACTACACAACCAGGACCCACAAGTAACCGAATTCACAAACACTATGAGCAACTGTGTTGCTACCAACAATATCTAAACCTACAAGAATCACTGAGACGAGTATCTCCTTAATAGACCACATCTGGACAAACACCATATCCCCTTTAAAATCAGGCATAATCACGGACAACACTACAGACCACTACCCAACCTTTCTCATAACTTAAATACCCTTCAGACTACATAACAAGACAGCAGTTAACAACTTTATAGCAGCTATGAATAACATAGATTGGCAAATTGAGCTCGAAACATATACAGATATGAATGAATATAAATAATTTTCTAAAAAAAAGTCCAAAGTCTCTATAACAAACATTGCCCAAAAAAAACTAAACAGATCACAGCAAAGAGACTGAATAATCCCTGACTAACACCAAGCATCCTCAAATCCATTAACACAAAGCACAAATATGAAAAACAGTATGGAATGAGTCAAATAACTAGAGAACAGTCTAAATGTTACTTGTCAGCTCTTACCAGCCTGATAAGAAGATCGAAAAAATTATTTTTTTTTTATTATCACACTGGCCGATTCCCACCAAGGCAGGGTGGCCCGAAAAAGAAAAACTTTCACCATCATTCACTCCATCACTGTCTTGCCAGAAGGGTGCTTTACACTACAGTTTTTAAACTGCAACATTAACACCCCTCCTTCAGAGTGCAGGCACTGTACTTCCCATCTCCAGGACTCAAGTCCGGCCTGCCGGTTTCCCTGAATACCTTCATAAATGTTACTTTGCTCACACTCCAACAACACGTAAAGTATTAAAAACCATTTGTCTCCATTCACTCCTATCAAACACGCTCACGCATGCCTGCTGGAAGTCCAAGCCCCTCGCACACAAAACCTCCTTTACCCCCTCCCTCCAACCTTGCCTAGGCCGACCCCTACCCCGCCTTCCTTCCACTACAGACTGATACACTCTTGAAGCCATTCTGTTTCGCTCCATTCTCTCTACATGTCCGAACCACCTCAACAACCCTTCCTCAGCCCTCTGGACAACAGTTTTGGTAATCCCGCACCTCCTCCTAACTTCCAAACTACGAATTTTCTGCATTATATTCACACCACACATTGCCCTCAGACATGACATCTCCACTGCCTCCAGCCTTCTCCTCGCTGCAACATTCATCTGGAAAATATACCCACTCTTCACACCCATATAAAGCGTTGGTTAAAACTATACTCTCATACATTCCCCTCTTTGCCTCCAAGGACAAAGTTCTTTGTCTCCACAGACTCCTAAGTGCACCACTCACTCTTTTTCCCTCATCAATTCTATGATTCACCTCATCTTTCATAGACCCATCCGCTGACACGTCCACTCCCAAATATCTGAATACGTTCACCTCCTCCATACTCTCTCCCTCCAATCTGATATCCAATCTTTCATCACCTAATCTTTTTGTTATCCTCATAACCTTACTCTTTCCTGTATTCACCTTTAATTTTCTTCTTTTGCACACCCTACCAAATTCATCCACCAATCTCTGCAACTTCTCTTCAGAATCTCCCAAAGCAGTGTCATCAGCAAAGAGCAGCTGTGACAACTCCCACTTTGTGTGTGATTCTTTATCTTTTAACTCCACGCCTCTTGCCAAGACCCTCGCATTTACTTCTCTTACAACCCCATCTTTTTTTTATTATTATCACACCAGCCGATTCCCACCAAGGCAGGGTGGCCCGAAAAAGAAAAACTTTCACCATCATTCACTCCATCACTGTCCTTGCCCGAAGGGTGCTTTACACTACAGTTTTTAAACTGCAACATTAACACCCCTCCTTCAGAGTGCAGGCACTGTACTTCCCATCTCCAGGACTCAAGTCCGGCCTGCCGGTTTCCCTGAATCCCTTCATAAATGTTACTTTGCTCACATCCAACAGCACGTCAAGTATTAAAAACCATTTGTCTCCATTCACTCCTATCAAACACGCTCACGCATGCCTGCTGGAAGTCCAAGCCCCTCGCACACAAAACCTCCTTTACCCCTCCCTCCAACCCTTCCTAGGCCGACCCCTACCCCGCCTTCCTTCCACTACAGACTGATACACTCTTGAAGTCATTCTGTTTCGCTCCATTCTCTCTACATGTCCGAACCACCTCAACAACCCTTCCTCAGCCCTCTGGACAACAGTTTTGGTAATCCCGCACCTCCTCCTAACTTCCAAACTACGAATTCTCTGCATTATATTCACACCACACATTGCCCTCAGACATGACATCTCCACTGCCTCCAGCCTTCTCCTCGCTGCAACATTCATCACCCACACTTCACACCCATATAAGAGCGTTGGTAAAACTATACTCTCATACATTCCCCTCTTTGCCTCCAAGGACAAAGTTCTTGTCTCCACAGACTCCTAAGTGCACCACTCACTCTTTTTCCCTCATCAATTCTATGATTCACCTCATCTTTCATAGACCCATCCGCTGACACGTCCACTCCCAAATATCTGAATACGTTCACCTCCTCCATACTCTCTCCCTCCAATCTGATATTCAATCTTTCATCACCTAATCTTTTTGTTATCCTCATAACCTTACTCTTTCCTGTATTCACCTTTAATTTTCTTCTTTTGCACACCCTACCAATTCATCCACCAATCTCTGCAACTTCTCTTCAGAATCTCCCAAGAGCACAGTGTCATCAGCAAAGAGCAGCTGTGACAACTCCCACTTTGTGTGTGATTCTTTATCTTTTAACTCCACGCCTCTTGCCAAGACCCTCGCATTTACTTCTCTTACAACCCCATCTATAAATATATTAAACAACCACGGTGACATCACACATCCTTGTCTAAGGCCTACTTTTACTGGGAAAAAATTTCCCTCTTTCCTACATACTCTAACTTGAGCCTCACTATCCTCGTAAAAACTCTTCACTGCTTTCAGTAACCTACCTCCTACACCATACACTTGCAACATCTGCCACATTGCCCCCTATCCACCCTGTCATACGCCTTTTCCAAATCCATAAATGCCACAAAGACCTCTTTAGCCTTATCTAAATACTGTTCACTTATATGTTTCACTGTAAACACCTGGTCCACACACCCCCTACCTTTCCTAAAGCCTCCTTGTTCATCTGCTATCCTATTCTCCGTCTTACTCTTAATTCTTTCAATTATAACTCTACCATACACTTTACCAGGTAACTCAACAGACTTATCCCCCTATAATTTTTTGCACTCTTTTTATCCCCTTTGCCTTTATACAAAGGAACTATGCATGCTCTCTGCCAATCCCTAGGTACCTTACCCTCTTCCATACATTTATTAAATAATTGCACCAACCACTCCAAAACTATATCCCACCTGCTTTTAACATTTCTATCTTTATCCCATCAATCCCGGCTGCCTTACCCCCTTTCATTTTACCTACTGCCTCACGAACTTCCCCCACACTCACAACTGGCTCTTCCTCACTCCTACAAGATGTTATTCCTCCTTGCCCTATACACGAAATCACAGCTTCCCTATCTTCATCAACATTTAACAATTCCTCAAAATATTCCTTCCATCTTCCCAATACCTCTAACTCTCCATTTAATAACTCTCCTCTCCTATTTTTAACTGACAAATCCATTTGTTCTCTAGGCTTTCTTAACTTGTTAATCTCACTCCAAAACTTTTTCTTATTTTCAACA